CTTTAAGAAAAGAAAAAAAAGAGAAAAGCCCCAGGACTCACTGCTCCTGCAGCAGCCTCGGGGTTTCAGGGGGCTCATGCAGAGCCCCCCACATGGCCCAGGACAGTGGGGATCACCCCCCACTGGCAGGAGTGGTGAGTTGGGGGGGTTTTTCTTAAAGGGCCAGAGCTTTGGTGGGTGGGGCAGCCCAGGGTGGGGGGAGCTGGCTGGCATAGTGGGGGGTCAGGGGGCTTGTGCAGGACCCCACTCAACATGGGGCAGTGGGGATCGCCCCCCCGCCCTGCAGCACCTGCTGAGTCAGGGCTTTTTTTTTTTTTTTTTTAAACAAGCACCAGGAGCTTGGGCTGGCAGGGATGGGCCTGGCTGATTCTGAGATTTGGCAGCAGCCAGATCTCAGCATCAGATTCAGCTGAATCAGTTTGGGACAGTGATTCAAGTCACCGACTTGAATCAGTGTCTCCCAAATTGACCAAATCCAAATCCAAAGAGAATATGAGTCGCTTCACACAGGCCTAGTTTACAGGCCTCTGTCCCAGGCCTAGGACATGAAATTTATCACTTAGCTATAATTTCCCCATATTTTCTCTTTAATGACCACATAGCTCTTCTCATCTCACAGCCTGCCCACTCTAGTCAAATAGTTCTCCTTACATTGTGACCCCATCTTGTTCGCATTACATGAGGGGTGAACTAAGCCTGGTAGAGATGCAGCTGAGCTTCTGATCACCTGAGGAACCAGACTGCCTTTGTGTCAGACTGCTGACTTTAGCACTTCCTTAATATTTTTAAATTATTAAATGCATTCTTTCAAATGCAGTGTTTAAAACCTAGTAAGTTTTAAAGGTAAGGTCCAATGCATTTGTGGTGTGAATTAGTAACTGCGACAAAGTCCTGTCACAGAATTAGTAGCTCCAGATTTGAAAATGGATGGCTTGGTTTTACTTTGATAATTCTGTAATAAATAGCTAATTTCTAAGTCTGTATGTAGTATCCAAGTTTTCTGTCAAAATATACAATATGATCTGTAGTAACTAATTCTTCATTTATTCATACAATATCATATATAATATTATTCAGGAGCAAATACTGTGCGACACAAATACAAGATACTTAACTGAAGATCAGGAAACGCCACCATCACCATCTGAAGACCTCAAAGATCAACCTGTCTTGTTAGATGAAGAATGGGAACATGAAGCAGCTACTTTGTATGCCTGGTCCCAGGCTTTATCTCTTGAAGATATTGGACTGTCTTCCTCTACAGCTACCTTATGAATGTAAAATATGGCTAAAATAGTGGTGAATAACTATTGTCCTAAGCTATTTTTTTTTCTAACTTGCTGTAAATACATTGTGAAGTTTGATTGCAGCAAACATGGGTTACAACATACATATTTCTCTTTGGCTGTTCACAGATTTAGAATTTGAGCAATGTACAGATTAGTTGTCTGTCAACATTTTATATTTTGTATAAAATACAATATACAGTTTTAATTCAGTCTTGCTAGACTGCTGCCTATTTCAGTCTTATCATACTTAGTTAAGTTTGAAGACAGATTCTCAAAATGGGATTTATTTTCAGCTTCTATGCCTTCCTCCCACAAACAAAACTAATCCCCTGAAAATTCACATGCAACATCTCCTGGGTAAAACTTTTCAGGGAAGGTTGAAAAGAAATTAGAATAGTTTTAAAATTATAGGGTCTTTTTATGAAAATCTGGCAAAGTGAAGTAGCCTTATATGGGGACTCCAGCAGCACAGAAGACTTATCAGCTGATGGAATATCTAGGCACGTCTGTGCCATAGCTTCTTAATGCTAGAATAAACATGGACAAGGAAAATTCATAGACCTTTTTACCCTTAAATCTGTTGGGTTGGGGGAGTTGCCATATTTTAAAATGTAATATATAAAATTAACAGCAGACCATTGTAGAATATAATGGGGGAAAAACTAGAAGTCAAGAAAGTGATGTACATTTGGTTGTGATTTTATAAGCTGTAGAATTTATTTGGTTCTTGGTTAGGTAGGCACTACAGAGATTAACTTAGAGAAGTTTCGTGGTTAGAAAATTGAGTTTACTAGCAGTAGTTGGATACAGTACTGAGCAAAAGCCCATTTCAACTTCTTTCAAAAATTGATCAGTTTCATAGTTTGTCAGAATATAGATTGATAAAATCTGAAGCTGTACTTAGGTTGGTCACTAGAACCTGAATATTGCTTTATCCTGGATAAGGTGTCAGGAGGACATTGAAGAAAAAGATGGAGTCATTGACAATGAGAAATGCATCTTCAGTTTAGTCACTTACAGTGAGAAATGCATCTTCAGTTTGTTACAACTGCCAGCAAATGGACTGAAAGACTCTGAACACTTTTTTTGTATTCAGGAATATCCTATTGCTTCACAGATAAAAGGCTAAAGCTTACCATGAACATTAAACCTGAACAAAATAGCATTGCTTAGGAACTGGTTCAGAGTTCTTGCAGGGAAGGACAGTGATTGCAGACAGATAACAATTGAACTGTTCCTACAGTTCACGGTTGCGTGAAGTACAATGGGTCTGATACCAGGGGGTGGGAGGGAGTACCCAGCCCAAAGTGCTTTTCAGTGAGCAGAGGCTTGTGGAGAGCCAAGTACTTGCACCTGTGCTTTGAGGTTCTGAGGGGTGGGTGACCTGTGGCTGAGGGTGTTTTCATTGTTCTATTATGCCTTCTCTCTTCATCATGAGTTCAGTAAGCTTCAGTAGCCTACAATTGACAGATCTGCAGCGTTTGCCTGACTTATGGAACAGGGAGTAGGAAAGGGTGGAACAGTGTCTGGCCCATGGTATTGGGTTTCCCAGGGTGTAGGGTATGGTGAGGGGGCGTGGTTGAGTAGGAAGTGAGGACACAGCTGGTTATCTGAAATATAGCTCTTACGAAACAAACAGTGCAAGGGAGCTCATAGATAAAAATTGCTAACGAAAGGGAAAAAAGGGGGCAGTAGATTTCTAGCTGTGGATGAGAGCAGCCATTTCCATAAGTGGTGAAACAAGGGGAAATGATATAGTGATCTCAAGGTGAGGGATGCCTGGAGGACTGCTCAGACCAGTGTTCACATGTAACAGTGAACCAGTACAACAGCACTTATTTTCCAGGTATACTTTCATAGTTGGTAGGGTCAGGAAGGACCTGAGTAGATCATCAAGTCTGACTCCCTGCCATGGGCAGGAAAGGATGCTAGGGTCAAATGACACCGACTAGGTGTATATCTAGCCTTCTCTTAAAGACCCCCAGGGTAGGAGCGAGCACCACTTCCCTTGGAAGTTGGTTTCAGATCCTAGCCACCCTGACTGTAAAGTAGCACCTCCTGATATCTAGCCTGAATCTACTCTCAGTCAGCTTATGGCCGTTATTCCTTGTTACTTCCGGTAGGGTTTAGGGGAACAGGGACTCTCCCATTGCTTGCTGGTCCCCCTTGGCCAGTTTGTAGACAGCCACCAGATCCCCTCTCAGCCTTCTTTTGTGGAGGCTGAACAGGTTCAAGTCCTGTAGCCTCCATTCGTAGGGCCTGCCTTGCTGCCCCCTGATCATGCAAGTGGCCCTCCTCTGGACCCTCTCCACGTTGTCTGCATCCCTCCTGAAGTGCAGCGCCCAGAACCGAACGCAGTACTCCAACTGCAGCCTGACCAGTGTCACATAGAGGGGGAGGATCACCTCCTTGGACCTGATCATGATGCATCTATGGATGCGTGACAAGGTGCGGTTAGCCTTCCTGACCGTGTCCCCACATCGACGGCCCATGTTCATCTTGGAGTTTATAATGACTCCAAGATCCCTTTCCGCCTCTGCTGATGAGAAGGGAGGTCCCCAGCCTGTAGGTACGCTGCTGGTTCTTCCTCCCCAGGTGCAATACCTTGCACTTGTCCATATTGAAACCCATCCTGTTCTCATCTGCCCACCCCTGTAACCTGTCCAGATCTAATTGTAGTCTGTCCCTCTCCTCCAGCATGCCCACATCCCCCCACATCTTAGTGTCATCTGCGAATCTGAACAATGTGCTTTTCACCCCCTCGTCCAAGTAGCTGATGAAGATGTTAAACAGTGCGGGCCGGAGGACTGAGCCCTGGGGAACCCCATTGCCCACATCCCTCCAGGTCAAAAAAGACCCATCCAATGCCACTCTCTGGGTGCCCCCCTCCAGCCAATTTGCAACCCATCTGACTGTGTAGGCATTGGCACCACAGACGCCTAATTTCTTAACGAGAATGGGATGAGACACAGTGTCGAAGGCCTTCCTGAAGTCCAGAAAGACTACATCCACCACGACACCTGCATCCAAGGATTTTGTGACCTGGTCGTAGAAGGCCACCAGGTTGGTCTGACAGGACCTGCCTCAAATGAACCCATGTTGGTTGCCCCTAAACATGACCCCCCCGCTGGTCCCTCATAGATGTGCTCCTGGATAATTCAAAGAGCTTCCCTAGGAATAAGGTAACAACTTCCTTAGGGCCTGTATTTTCCTGGGTCCTCCCTCCTCCCTTTTTTGAAAATAGGGACCACATTTGCCCTTTTTCAGTCCTTCAGCACCACACCAGAGTACCACAAGTGCTCGTAAATCTGTGCCAGGGGTCCCACGATGACCTCTGCTAATTCTCTCAGCACTCTAGGGTGGAGAACCAGATAATTTGAATACGTCTAGCCCCACCAGAAGTTCCCTGACTAGGTCCTCACTGACCCTGGGCCTGGCAGCACCTGCCCTGGGTCCATTAGGGTTCCCGGTAGGGGGGGATGCCCTGGTCCCTGCTCCAAAAAATGGAGGCAAAGAAATTGTTAAAGAGGTTAGCTTTGTCATCTGGTGTAACTACCAGATTTCCTAGTGTGTCCTGCAGAGGACCTATATTACCCTGTACCTTCTTTTTACCCCCTATGTATTTAAAAAAGGACTTCTTGTTATCCTTGATCTGGGTTGCTAGTCCCAGTTTCATCTCCTCCTTGGCCTTAACAGCCCCCCTACAGTCTTGAGCAATGGCGGTATAGTCCTCCTTGGTGATGGCCCCTCCCTTCCCTTGGGTGTACAACTCCTTTTTAGCTTTGAGATGTTCCTGAATGCTTTTGGTGAGCCATGGGGGCTTTTGAGCACTCTTGCCCCTTTGATCCGCGTTGGGATTGTCGTCATTTGGGCTTGGAGGATTGTCTCCTTAAGAAACGACCACTCTTCTGGAACTCCCAACTCCTCTCCCCTCCAGGACCTCAATGCCTCCCTAACTAGTCTCCTTAGCTCACTAAAATCTGCCCTCCTGAAGTCTAGGGCTATTGCCTTGCTGCAGACCTTTGACACCCTGCGCTGGATGGTGAATTCCAGTAGGCGATGATCGCTATTGCCCAGGTGGTTGAGAATCTGCAGTCCACTCACCAGGTCATCTCCTGTGGCCAGGACCAGGTCCAACAAAGCATTTCCCCTGGTGGGACTATGCACCTCCTGGGTTAGATGGAGGTCCTGTAACTCAGTTAGGAACCTCCGTGAATGGTCAGACCTGGCTGACTGCTCTTCCCAACAGATGACCAGATAGTTTAGGGCACCCATGATGACCACATCCCTTGAATTAACTGCCTCCGTGAGCTGACCTGAGAATTCCTGGTCCAGCTCTTCCCCCTGGTTGGCTGGCCTGTAGTAGACCCCCACAGTTAAGTCCCTTTCCCCCTGCCCCCTTGTATTCAGACCCAGAGCACTTCAGTCTGCCCTACCTCAGACCCAGTGCTATTTGTTGAGGATGTGTATTGCTCTTTGACATAGAACACCACACCCCCACCTTTCCTCCCTGTTCCATCTCTCCTGTATAGCCCTTGATGTTTACCGCCCAGTCATGCATAGGGTCCCACCAAGTTTCACTGAGCCCCACTATCTCCAGGTTTGTGTTAGCTAGCAGGAGGGCAAGTTCCTCCTGCTTGTTCCTCATACTACAAGCTTTAGTGTAGAGGCATTTAAGGTCTCCTGGAGCTATGCACCACCCCACTAATCCTAGAAATATCTGGGCCCTTGTCGCTTACCTGGGTATTTCTTATGCTTGTTGCCTGTCTTGGCTGGGCTGTTCTTGTGGGTGGCTCTTGGTTCAGTGTTCCGTGGCTCCTCGTCCCCGTCCCCCGACTTTTGAACTGTTTGGCTTGGAACAGATGTTGCATTTGTCCCTGGATAAATTGTACCATGTCTAACCTTACAATATGATGTGATCCTAGCTGGGAGGATGACTAAACATTGGAATACCTTTACCAGGAGAGGGGGTAGGCTTAACATCACGTAGCATCGTTAGGATGAAAATGGATATCTTTTTAAAAAGGTATACTCTAGAGAAGTTTCTGGGAGAAACTGTGACCCAAGTGTGAATGTAGGGAGTCAGGCTGGAAAGTGGCAATGGTCACTTCTAAGCTTGAAGTCAGTGGCTGGATTTAGAGGTGCAGGTGTATGTGGTTTGCAGTGCCACAAACTGCACATGTTGTATGTTAAAACTGTGTGGCGCTGTTAATTTGCAACACTGGAACAAAATTTGCTACTGGAATTTCTCAGTAGTCAAAAAACCCCAGAAAAAAGCAGCACAAAGCATGCCAAAGTTGTGTGCGCCAGGACAAACGTGGAGATGGGAGCAGTGGAGCCCCCACAGTGAGGCACCTGGCACTCCAGCCAGCCACAGAGCAGCTGGCTGTGGAGCAGGCAGCCCTGAACTAGCTGCTCCCCTGTCTCCACGTGCCTCAGCATGGGGCCTCCGTTGTGAGTCCCCGTGTTGAGGCACATGGAGCCCAAGTGCTGAGGCACACTGCACGGAGCAGCTGGATGAGGTGCAGTGTGCCTCAGGACAAGAGATCAGTCAGCCCAGGGCTGTCTGCTCCCCCATCTCAAGGCAAAATGCACCCCAGCCAGCTGCTCCATGGCTGGCTGAGGCACCGGATGTCTCAGCATAGGTGCTCCTCTGCATGTGGAAACAGAGGAGCAGGCAGCTCTGCACTGCCTGATCCCCCATTTCCATGTGCCGTTCCCTGGCTGCCTGGGGGACAGGGTGCCTCAGAGTGGGAGCTGCCTGCCAGCTGGTCCCATACCGAGGCACTCGGTTCCCCCAGCCAACCTCCCTTGCAACATATGGAGCAGTGAGACAATGCATCTTGCTGCAAAGCGCATGGGCAGGGGTGTGCACTGCAGCACAAAGCAGCACAAATTTGTGCTGCTGCAAATACACACCTCTGATCATGTTGATGTGGCCAATGCATCTACCCCTGTTAATCTCCCTCTTTCGTGGGCTATGAAGGATTGCTGCATTGACT